GAAAGAGAATACTCTGAGCCAAATGATCAAGCAAAGCAGTTAATTATTAGTTGAGTCTCGGGAACAATTATTTTCCTTTGTGAACAGCAGGGGTCACTAAAAAGAAGGATTACACTGGCTGAGGCAAACAGGCTCTTTTTTTTTTTTTCCAACTACATCACTTTGCAAATAAAAAATTCACTATATTAAAAATGAAAATTCTTGGTCCCACTGTTTTTGACAGACAACAAACTTAAAAAAAGAAAAGGCTTTCTGATTATGGCCTAAACTGTAAGATATCTCTGCCTCTAATAAAATCTCTCATAAAAATTACTTTTTTTTTTCTTTTGCCTACAATGAGTTTTATACAATACTTTGTTACAATATATTTTAATTACATCGTAAGTTGATCTTGACATTTAACACTGTGATAGCCAAGAGTGAGTAATGTCATTTCCTCTCTATTTCTCATGAACACACTGTCATTTTCTCTATTATTTGCTGTTATTGGAAGTCAATAAAATACAATTAGTAATGTGGCAAAATAAAAATAAAATTGTCCCCCATTTAGGACAAATCCACAAGAGAAGAAACAAAATATTCAGATGGTATCTCAGTGTAACGTCACTCAACATAAAATGTAAACAAGCGTGTAATTCTGTTCCTGGAAAGATGGAAAGCGCTGACCACCAAGGAAAGAAATTGAAGAAAAGCCAGTCAAACACGTTAGCAGGCAGAACCCTATAAAAGAACACACCGGAAAGATAGAATGCTTCCTCTGCCTCATATCTGTTCTGTAAGCTTAGGAGTCAAGAAGGGGGTTTTTTTGTATTTATCTTTGCAGCTGAATGAGTTCAATTTCTCTCAGATTAGGACAGAAATTTCAGAACAGCAGGTTAATCCTTCCTGTCTTCACGGACAACTGAGCAAACAGACCTGTATCGGCGTGGCCAAGTGTAAAATTGTAATTCTAGAGATTAACGTTGTCTTTCCTGTTTGCTTTGAACTTGACCTCCATGTTTCTCTTCTAGGTATGTTTGTATGTATGTGTGCAGTTATTTATTTATTTGTTTGTTTGTTGTTAACAGCTTCTGTCCAAGGCCCCTGGGAGAGGGCAATCTCACCAAACAAAGTGCCGTATTATATCAAGTGAGTATAAATAGTAATTCATTCTAGCTATTTACATTTGTCATTCACAAGGCTACTTGGTAATTTCTTTAGATTATGGTAAACTGCTCGTATGGTGTCTAAATAGGAAGAACAAAAAGGAGTGAAGTGTGCAATAAATTTCACAGAAGTATGCTAGTTAGTTAAAAACCCAGTAGGATGTACTGATTTGTAAGTTCTTTGGTTTTATGCTACTGTAAATCACCAGCAAACTAAGTAAAGCTTTGGGGTATCTGGATATTTTAATTTGTGCCACTGCCCACAGAAGAGTATGTATGGCGGGTTTTGAAACACCAAAAAAACATTCCGAATTGCAGTTGTGAATGTGATATACTGTTTTTTTTACCATAGCAATGCACATACTTTATAAAACAATTTCCTTTAGGGAAAGCACGTGGTAAAGTTTGTTGCTGAGGAATGACAAGGGACAAATTAGTCCCTATGGACTATTCCTTCAGAGTTTATTTCCCATATTAAGCTAGTTTTTTTTTAGAGACATGTATGCATAACAAATGAGAGGAAAATTTAAAAAATCCACAATTTGGAAACACCTGCTTCTAGTTTAGTGCCCTAAACAGAACCACAACACAGCAAATAAGAAGTTTTAATACATTTTTCCTTCTCTGTTTAGTTCCTTATTGCCTGCAATATGTGCCTTGAACTATTTATACATAACTACTGGAGGAAACAGGTGATGGAATGCCTATGATAAAGACTGCAGTGCACGTAACTGAAACATGGGTGTTGTTTAATAGGCATATTCACACACTTCCTCCTTATATTCCCAGTAAACTTCGGAAACTCAGCTAGTGTCACTGAAGCCATCTGGCCGCCAATGGCACTCGCACTGGCACTTCAGTTGCAACTTTCACAACAATACGAACTGCTACAGCAGCTTCAGAGCAAGCGTTTGAGTTACACATGAAGAAACTAAGTCTGTAGTGCAATACAGTGTGACAGTTATACCTGGTTTAAGTTGGTTTACTGTTGCATTAAATATGTAATTTTTCTGACATTGGTATTTGGCTACGACTACTGAAATAGTCACAAGGAAGCTGGAAACCTCTGTCAAGGAGGAGGGGAGAGGGAAATCTATGGGGAACAAATACTGGAAAGCAAGTTGAGGCTCTGACAGTTCAGAGTGCCAGTTTAAGGCACTACTATGAAGGAGAAGATCTTTTTCTCTGTTCTGTGGTATGACTTGCCTTTATGGGGAGAGGTGCTTTGGCAATTCTTAATGTAGGCACGAGATGCATTTCAGGCTGTACCTCCCACTTCTGTGTATGCTACTCGCATCCAGCAGCCATGGGTAACTGTTGACTCTTTGTGCTAAAGTGGTCAATTGCTATTTTTTGGTGTCAACTTTGCATTTCCCTTGCTGTTCTCGGCCATTTACAAACTCAAAGGCTACATTTGTTTTATTTTGTTCACTTTAGAAAATACCTTAATAGCTATAAAGAGCTGTAGCTGTACTAGTTTAATTAATGTACAAATTCAGCCACATAAGTTATAGGAAAACTTGCTGTCCTTGAGATATAAAACAAACTGGCCAAGTTTTAATGAGTCTTAGTGAGCTGTTACATCTATTCACTTCTCCAGCTGTCATTTCTCTTTTCACTCATTCTCATTGCTCATATTTCATATTTATGCACAACTAAATTGCCTGTCTTCTGTACCATTTTGACTTTTAAACTTAGAATATTCTTTCTTTCTTCTTTGAACTATTACTTTCCGATCAATTGTTAACTCTCTAAAAGAGCTTCCATGAAGACTGAGCAGCTATAGATCGTATTCTCTTCATGTTTACATAATTTTCTTTTTGTCATCAATGTAGAATATTGGTCCTAGCCTCCTTTGTTAACCAGATTTGCTACATGTTTTATTGGTCTTCATTTTATCTGATTTTCCCTTGATGCCTAACTGTTTCATCTCATCATTTTCACATTTGCAATGACACAGCACTTGATAAATCCATAAATCAGGCAGTACTTAGTGCTAAATCTTCAGCAGCGATGTTTACTTACTGCTAGGTATCTTCAAGCCTTGTGATTTTCCTGGTTAAAATTTCATTTTTATACAGTTGATTAATCTTTCGCAACTAGTTGCCTCTAAAGCTATCACTTCAGTAATTTCTTTTTGAGATTATTCACACCAGTTTGTTTGGGTTTTTTTTCAAATTGTATTGGTGTAGGCATCATTGCCATGGAAAATATAATTATCAAGAGTGTACAGCCCATCTCAGCTATTCCCAGTCTCTGCCATTTTGTAGTTTCTTTGCCTACTGTCAGCCTCATGAAAATTGCAGCCTAATGGCCTCGCACCAGCTGCTGCATTCTGGTGGATTTCCTTCCACTTTATTGTTTGCTTCCCTCCTTATGGAGATGACAAGCTGGGCCAGCAGTTCAGCCTCACCTCTCTTTTCCCCAGCCAAGTGAGAAATCAAATCTCTCTGTTCCAGGACGGCAGAAGTATATTGGCTTCCCAAGCAGCAAGTAGATGTTGCTGCCTGGGTAGTGAGCACTTGACCAGAGGAAAAAAACTCTCCCTTTTGCCTCTGAATTAAAGCATGTAAAATTGCTTGAAAACACATTTTATCTGACCTTTTTCTTTTTGATCTTTTTTTCTCCCTTGATATATTCCCTGTGTCTAGTACAGGATTTAAAGGTTTTATTAGAATAAAAAAGGAGAGGAATATTTATAAAAAAAAGTTTTCAGTTTAATCAGTCCTGTCCTTTGAAGGCCTTGATCCTACTTTTACTGGAGTGCAACCCAGAAAATGGAAAGGCAGAGACAGGCACAGGCATGCCTGTACTCTTTAATAATGTTTTAGGTATTCATTAAAATTTCTAAATTTAAGTTTTTAGGAGACAAAACAGGCAATTACTGTACATCAGAAATCTGAAAAGCAAATGGAAAAAATGCACAGCACAAAGACTACTGAATATGTATCAAAAGGTAAAAAAAAGTCTCAAATTCTAAAAAAAGACAGATAACGAAGGTAGGGAGGCTGCAGATTCTAACATCGTAATTCAGGTTAGATCACATCTTAGCAGAGCTCACCCTGTGATGAAAGGGATCTCACGTGTGCATGCATATACACGCACATTCTTATCTTCCAATCAAACAGAGAAGCTGCTCCAAAGCAGTGATAGATAGCAAAATCAAATGTCTACTTTGGATTTTGCAACAGCAGAAGAAGCATTCGGTCATGCTGCACAATGCAATTCCTCTTCAGTGTCTGTCCTCCCGGGGCACATTATGCAGCTATACTCTGAATCCTGTTTGCATCTCTCTTGTGTACAATTTATCCTCCTGTGCTCAGCTAACATGTCCAGTGTATGGTGCTAGGAGATCTCTGCTGCCTCGAGAAAGGAGGAGGAGTTGGATTGAAGTCTGTAACATACTTTCTCTCTAACGAAAAATTCAGTAGTCCTGCCGTTACAAGGTGTTGAAACTTAGTAGTTGTGACTTCTGTATTTGTACTAATCTTTGACATTATTCTTCCTCTGCATAAGTGACTTGCCAGTTAATAGCGCCTGTCTTCTTACCCTCTTGCTGTGCCCATTCTTTTGAAGGATTTAAAATGCTTCTGCAAAAATACAGTAGTCTTTCATCTCAGTACTTCCCACAAAGGAAGCCTTCCAAGTTATTTCCCAGCCAAGCTTATTTTCTTATACAGATTATAGCAGTTCACTGAACTTTGTCCTGCTGAGGACAAAGCTGGATTCTCAGGAGCATAGATTTGACTCCTTGAGAAGATCCATATGAGCCTATCCATATAAATTAGCTATGAGGTGAGCTAACTCCAAGGACTATGCATCTCCACTTTCTCACTCTCTTCCACATTGTAGTTTCCTATGAGAGTATTTGACTTGCATTAAATGTATTAGCTTGTGACATACATTTTTGTTAGTTTTAGATTCTGCAGTCATTACGTACTTCACAGTGGAGATCTAGCGGGCCGGTTTCTATAAACATACTTCATTGTTGTCTTAATTTTTAATCTCCCTTTTAATTGTTGGTTAGCCATGCAGAATTTCAACACAGAGAAAAGCTACGAGCCCCGAGTTTTCATTGTAAAAGCAAACAGATTAAAGTCATGATTCTTTTACTTTTGTTCGACTTAGAGGCAGGATAAATGAATCTATCTGAATTAAATTCTACAAAGATAAAATAACGCAAAGAGTTGCTGTTCTGTTAAAATCACTTGGGTTAATTGTTTCTTCTGCAGAATGTAGATAAGTACGAGACTCAAAAACAGGTAGGAATTATCTGTCAGACAGAACAGAGAGAGACATGGAGAACTGTAAATAAATAATGTATTATTATGTATATGTAGTGAGTGATGCTGTGAGCACACTATGAGAGGCATGTGTATGGCTGACAGTTAACCGATCTCCCAAGTACCAAGAAGGTATTATTTTGGCTTCTTCAAAGCACAGCTATCGTGGTCTGTTTCTGTCTTGCAGTTCTGAACTCTCCATACCAAAATTGAAACTATTGTGAAAGAAAAAAAAACTATATTGCTTTTCAGCCTGCCTTTATGTCATGTAAATTATCATGCTGTCTAGCATAAAAACCTAAATTAAACATCTGATACTTCTTAGAGGTTTGTCCAAGTGCAGAGTTTTTCTTTATCATTTGAAGGGCAGTGAGGCCTTGCTTCTAAAACTTGTCACAAAAATTTAAACTTGGAGTGTAAATAAATGAGAAATCTTGAGCCTTTAACTACCTTTAAAATGAAAACGAAGGTCATAAACAGATGTGTTCCCGCTGACTGAGCAGGAGCACTCCAGAAAGGTACCGCGGGTCTGTCTGCTCTTCGTTACCATCTGTCAGCAGGGAGTTACTGCCCTCACATGCGAAGCAACTGAAGGGGATTTAATTTGTTTGGAAATGAATTTTAAGTACTCAGCAGCAATTTTATCATATCCTAGCTGGTGCAGAGACAGGGGGCAGGGCTGCAGCCTCCCGGTAGGGTC